AAATTAGTTATGGTTGTCTATTTAGAAATAGAAAAATTAATTTATTTGATAATTTAAATCATATTGGTACCAGTACTTTATCAAGTCATGATAACTTATACTTACTTTGACGTAATAGTCTTTTCTAATGAAATCATATATATTAGTTCAAGGAGTACAAAAAAAGATTAATTAATGATAATTTTTCTTCATTATGTCACAAGAGATTAAGTCATATCTCTAAAAAGAGAATTGATCGACTTGTGTATGAATTTTTTGACCCACTTGATTAGAAAAATTTTGACATTTGTGTCAAATGTATTAACCAGAAAAAAATAAACATAAATAAAATAGGTGTCAATTGAGTTTCAAACATCTTATAATTAATAGATACAGATATTTGTGGACCATTTCCTATGGTCTCTTGGAATGGTGAATAATATATTGTCACATTCAAAGATGATTATTCTCGATTTAGTTACTTATATCTTATTAGTGAGAAGTCTTAATAGTTGAATGTGCTCAAGAAATATAAGGTTGAAGTTGAGAATCAACTCAACAAACGAATTAAGTCTATCAAATTAGACTATGGTGGTAAATATTGCAGTAAATATGATGGATTAGATGAACAATGTCCAAGATCTTTTGTTAAATTCTTAGAGAAGTGTGGCATTGTCTCAAAATTAATAAAGAAAAATATTTACTCAAAAATCATTAGTTGCTACTTTGTTGGATACTCGGATAGGTCTATTACTAAGATTATTTTTGTGATGAAAAATATTGATTTATTTGAGGATGTAAAATTTACAAAGGAAGATAAGGTTAGAGATATTAATTTTGAAGATAATTATGTAAATACTCCTTTTATTACTATTGATAATAGTCTTGATGACATTATCTTGACTAATGTTGATTAAGAAATGACTTCATATCAAAATAATGTCATTATGACTCTCATTTTAGAAGAAAAAACTCAACATACTTAAGAATCAGTGTCATTAATAAGATTCACCAGAGAGAAGAGAAATGTAGTTTCAAATGAATATATCATATTTTTTCTAGAACATGAGGCTGACTTGGAGTGATGGAAGATGATCTTATCAACTTCTATTGTCATGTAAAGTTCTAACTCTCATAAGTGGATTGATGCTATGAATAAAGAGATCAAATTTATGAAGAACAATAATGTTTAAGATCTTGTTATATTACCTAAAGGTGCAAAACCTATTGGGTGTAAATGGATAACCATGAGGGATTAAAAGGTGATAAGTTTTCATTATCATGAGTTACTAATTAGTAAATAATATATTTTTAGCCTTAAAATCATGATTAATAGACTTATATTTGTGTTAAAGTGTGAAAAGTAATTTTCAATTGATTAGAGTGAAAATTTGACTAATTATGTGATTTTCTATGAATTTAGATAATTTTTATAGTCTTATTTTTGAGATAAATAAAGAAAAAGAAATAAAAATAAAAATATAGCAAAATAGAGGGGCCTGTCAGCCAGTTGGGACCACAAGCACGTTAAAAATGCAATTGTGGGGCAAAGAGTAGTGGTACACACGAAAGAAAGAAACTAATTACTTATAAATGTGATATTACTATATATTCGTCTAAAACTTTGACGCACAATCGATGTGAGACTAAACCCGCATCACACCTTCCTTTGAAAGGGTTAAAACATTTTAATACTTAAACTACCCCTTTGTTATAATAGAGATATACTATAATGATGTTAATTTATAAGGGTATTAGAGTACTTATTTTAATTTTTCTTATGCATGTAGGTAATCGATGCAGGTTTAAATCTTCATAGAGCCAAAACTCATATTTTTATCTAATTATCGTGACTTTCTTGTAAATCATTGATGAAGGATTAAGTCGTCATAATTGTTAGATCATTGATGAAAATCTCGTCAATACGATTCGCAAAGTATTGTTACTAAAATTGTTGAATGATTCACGATAAAACGATTGTGAATCCATCTAAATATATCATCTCTGATTGATCGACGAATAAATCGTTGTCAAGAAGAGGATGATACGTCAAGAGATGAGTGACCACCTCTTGAGATCGTATTGGATGCAATGAAGAGTCTCCTCTTGTTGTACAGACTTGAGGATGAAGCTCCCTAACATGCGCTCCACCTTCATCCAGCTCCTCTCTATCAGGTGTCAACTACTAGAAAGTCGCAAAGTCATTATTTTTCTATTACATGAGGTGACAGTCGCTAGAGATGTTTCGAAGACCCATTTCATTGCTCTTTAGACTTCGCAAAGAGATCTAGAAATTGCTAATGTCGTCCTTGTCTAAGGAGAGCCTTCAAGATTGTGGACACTATACGACGATCTTTTTGAACACTCAGAATTCTGGTGCATTGTTGATGCATCGTCGTTGTGATGTTGGAACTCTATTCTCCTACTTTCAACTTAATTTTCACCTCATTTAGTGATAATTTGTGTGATTTAAATCTACCAAGTTATACTTCATTCAATTACGATTCTTCTGACTTTTACATATCTTAATTTGATTCATATTCGTTGAGCATTGATGTCATCTTAACATTCGCACTCTTATTTCTCTTTTTCGTAAATTTTAAATATATTTTTTTATAATATAAAATTTATAAAAAAATGATATTATTTGAAGAAAATTCTAAAAAATTACTCGATATTATATTACATCCATGTGATTGACTTGGAAATTACTACTTTTTTGGAAGTTTTATAAAAAATATAATTGATATATTTGTTGAATAATACTTCTAAATATCCAAAAATTAGTATTTTCTAGTTTTATAATTTTTTAATTCGCATGATTTACTATACAACAACTAAATCATGTCAAATGGTAATATAGAAAGATATTAAACTCATTTTGTTGCTAAAGAATTAACTTAAAAAGAAGGCATTGATTATACAAAGACGATCTTTTAGTGACATTGACTCAATTTCATTGAAAGACTCATTTAGAATAATAATGACAATAGTAATTCATTTTGATCTTGAGTTACATCAGATGGATGTAAAGACTATATTTATTAATGGTGACACTGATGAAATGATATTATGGTGTAATCAGAAAACTTTATGTCAAGAGACCCAAAAAAAATGATATGTAAATTTAAGAAGCCCATCTATGGGTTAAAATAAATTGGCGTCAATGTTATCATAAATTTTATTAAGTTAACATCCCATCTCTCTTTACAATGAATATAGATGATGAATGTGTATATCAAAAGTTCAATAAAAGTAAATATATGTTCTTGGTTTTATATGTTTATGACATATTACTTGTCATAGTGATATATGATTATTCTGTGACATCAAAAAGTTTTTGTCAAGAAATTTTGATATTATTTCAATGAAGCCTTTTTTGTATTAGATATTGAGATATATTGAGATTGTCTTTGAAATATCTTAAGGTTGTCACAAAAGAGCTATATCGAGAAAGTTTTTACGAAATTTGACATGGAAGGATGTAAGTTTTACAATATCCCTATTATTAAAGGAGACAAGTTTGATCTCAATTAGTGTAATAAGAATGATTATGATGTCAAAGAGATGTAAAAGATTTCTTATGCATCAGTCACAAGAAGCTTTATGTTTTTCAACTACATATAGGTTCATATATTACGTATAGTAGAGTATTCGACAGATATTTAAGCAACCATGGTATGGATCATTAGAAAATAACTAAATGAGTTATATGATATTTACAAAAGATAAAGAACTATATGTTCACATATAAGAAATTAGATCATTTAAAGATCATGAGATATTCAGATTCTGGTTTTGTTAGATGCACTGATAATAGACAATCCACTACAAACTATATCTATCTACTAGTTGGAGGAACTATATCATGGAAGAGTGTTAAGCATACACTCATAACTTCTTCTACTTTGGTAGTAAAGTTTATAACATGTTATGAGATATTTAATTATAAAATTTAATTAATTTTTTTATCACATTATTGTAAATTCTAAATAGAACTGAAAGAATATTAAAATTACTTTATGATAATAAATCAGTCGTTATATTTTTCAATAATAATAAGAGCTTGACCAAGTCTAAACATATAACCATCAAGTTTACAATTATCAAGGAAATAGTTTAGAGTGGCCAAATCTCTATAAAGCATATTATGACAAACTCTATGGTAGCAGATCTACTTACTAAGGGATTGCCACCAAAGGCATTTTATGAATTTATCTCATAATAATTTATAATTTTAGTGAGAGTTTGTATTTTGATGTTCATATATTTTTGAACATATACTTTAGCTATTTCATGTATGAATAAAGTTCATAGTTATTCTCACTTTGAATGTGATTGTTTGATCTTCTTTCAAAATTAAGAAGACTAAGTTGAAAATATACATGTATGAGTCACATTTCATATAATTTTCATACTACTCATCTATGCTTGATATATGTCATTTATTATATTGATATACTTAATTATTGTTGAATTCAGTCATACAAAAAAAAAAAAATGAACGAAAACTCTTTTAATTCTATTTTCAAATAATGATAGACGAGATTAATGAAAATATCTTTGTTAATTCTATTCCCGTGCATCATATTTCCTTATTCCATGTTTCTGATTGCAGTCTACCTGAAAACAGAGACAAAGGAGACGTAGAAATCTTTCAATAGGGGAGAAAAAAATCGCATTTTATTTGATGCATGGGGAAAGAATAATATATGAGATGCATGGGAACCTTCTGGGGAGTGGCAGAGAGAAGGTTGAAATTCTTCGAACCACTCGTGCTGAACGCTCAGAGAGTAGTTAAGGTAGCCCTGCTCTATGCCTTCGCCAGGGATCAAGGAGGCATCAAGCGCCGTGGCTCCCCCGACTGCGAAACACTCCATGACGAAAGTCCTGACTACGTCCTCCCAAGTATGGTGGAGGTGGCGGTAGTCCGAAAGCATGTGCTGTAGCAACAGAAGCAGACGAGTGTCCAGCGTTAGCTCCAGTAAAAAGAAGACAGCGGGCTGGATGGACATCTGTGATCATGGTTTTCTACGGTGGCAAGACACGGAAAAGGGTGTACCGATGAAATCCACAACAAGGCGGCCGTCGGATTGCCGGCCCGTCGGAAGTCCGAAGTATGTTGTTCCGTAGGGTAGGTTGCCAAGGACTTGGTTGAGCTCTGGCTCGGCGATCAAAGCGTTTCCTGTGTCTGTCATCGAATCCCCGAAGCGGATGATGGAAGTATGGCGTGGGGTCACCGATTCGGCCACTGTGAAGACGGAGAAGACTAGTAGATAGATTAGGAAGCCCACGGTGAAGTGGGGCGTACGGGAAGAATGGTAAGCCATAACAGAAAAGACTGAGGGATGTGAGCTTACGGTGCGAGTATGTGAGAGGGCACGCCTTCACATTTTTGTAGATTGGTTGCTTCCGAAGGGTTTCCATTGATCTTATCCATTAGAACATTTGCAGATTGTGATATGCACGCCTCCCACGGGAAAAACTTGCTGGCATTTCAAAAACAGCAGGCCGCACTCGTTTGCTCAGAGTTAGGCACCGTTGAATATTCGCGTCCGCAAAAGTCTCTCAGGGGGAACGATATTCAGGTGCCCAGGACTTTGCCGGGATTAAAAAAAGCAAGAAAAAGAAAGGTATTGACTGTTGACTTGGCGGCAAAAGTTGACCGCTAACTTGGTGTAATAGTTGGTCATTGACTGTTGACGATTGACTCGACTGTTGAGTGTTGAGTTGGCGGCAAAAGTTGACGAGGCTGAATGTGTTGACTCTGTGGACTGGATAGAACCAGGCGGCTGGCGCCGACCAGGTAATCCGGTAGAAACCTCCTGACCAGCGCTTGGAGCTGGTTTGAACCAGGAGCCGAGATGATTCGGACCGAGGTGGCGGGTGGGCTCGGACGAGGCGGTCAAGTCGGTTGTATGGCGGATCAGGTGGGCTGGGGGTCGGGTGGTCAAGGTGGCTGGGCCGGCGGATCTGGTGGGCTATGTCGAGTGGTCAAGGTGGCTTGGCCGGCGGCTAAGGTGGGCTGGGCGGGGTAGTCAGGTGGGCTGGGCCGGCGGTCAGCTGGCTGGGCTGGCGGGTCAGGTGGACTGGGGCCAATAGGTGGCCAGCTTAAAATGGTCACTGCCGAAACCCTAATTTGGGAGTTTCGGGCGCGATTCAATGCTGTGCCCAAGGCGGCGGCGTCTGGCGATGGGAAGGCGCAGGCGGCGGCGTCCGGTGACTGGGGCACCGTGGCGACGAAGATGGCGGCGGTTCATCGGGGGTGAAGCGGGGGAGCCGAGAACGGCGGCGGCGCCCTGAGAAACGCGCGGTGGAGGCGGCGGTGGTCCTCGCGATCAACCCCTAAACAGGTGACTTTGGTTAATCCTAACCAAATCAACTAAAATTCATTTCTTCTCTACTCTTCTTTTTAATGATCATTACATAAGGGTATTTATAGTTTATGAAAGGAGGCGTCACTTCTATAAAGTACTGAAATATATATGTATATATATAGTGTACAAATCCAAATAATTTTATTTAAGGGGACTAAGCACAGTTTCTGTCTCGCTTCTAGCTGTTTGGGAGCCGCATCACTTTGATGGTTTCGGTCTACTCATCGTCAGTAAGCTTTCAGCTTGATGGAAGTTTATCGTCGAAATTAGTTTTTAACGTTATAAGAGCAGACGATTATTCTTTCAGTGGATACACCATATTTACAGCGTTTCCTTGACAAAGTTTAAAAGTTGATCTACACAAGACGGGACACGTGAATGATAGCATTAAAAGTTGTGACATTAATTAATGGATTAATCATGTAGCCTTATATACTAATTTCTTGGGAAATGACCGAGTGAAGCCACAAAAGATCTCTAATTGATCTTTATGAGTGACTAATGCGACAATCAACATAACAGATGCTCAAATCAAATAGCAGTTGTTGACTAGTAAAAGTATCTGCAATATTATGATGAAGTGCTATTACAAAAGTTTGGGGAATGAGACGTTGGATGAAGATAACAGAGCAGAGGTAATGGTAATCAAAACCAAACTCACAAATAGTACCCACTAATTATATAATCACTGAAAGACGGGAATGAGGAGAGTACAGTTGCGACAGAACTAAAATTTTATAACCCATGATTTAAAAGAAGTCGGTTGCGATGCAAAAAATTAAATCACTTTCAAATAGCACAATACTTGAAGCTTGAGTTTCCAGGAGGTAGCTACGCAGTGGAGTTACACAGGGAGTCATGGCCTGAAAGGTGATCAGAAAGGCGAAACAGATCTCCTTTCAAGTCATCACCCTCCAAACATTCAATTTGACGTATGACGTTCCTCTGGCTCCATAACCAACGGTGAGGACAACGAAGACCTGGAGTCCAGCGCAGACCGTCCAGTGTTTCGATTGGAAGAGGGCAGCACTGGAGAGGGAACGCAGTGATAAGAACGCGGCGACTATTATCTCCGTGAATGCGTTATCTATATGATTTAGGATCGCAACAAGGGCGTAGATGAGATCCGCTCCAGGACCGTTAAGGTAGGTATATATCTCATTTGTCCTGACCAACTCTCAGCGATTCCTTTCTCCGCAAATCACCCCTGCTGTGAAAGAGAAGAGAATTACAGCTGCTGTGGATGGCGGGAAGTGACGGGAGAAATCAGGCTGTCTTATCACCTCGTTGGTCTTCACAGCTCATACTGTCAGACTCTTCCTTGCTAATGTTGCTCAACTATTCCTCTCGTTTGCCCCTTCCCTAGGTCATATGTATCCTCGTCAGTAATCGCTCTCTGGTCTCTGCACTGTCGTCTTCATTCTCAAGTTGGATATCACGTAAAAGGATGCCGATGACTTTCAGCTCCTCCTAGACCGTCAAATGACGCGGGGATACCCTGAAGGTGTTTTCATGTGTCCGTGGTTGCAAGAGCGAATGGCTGGGAGCTATTCGCCAAGACTGCTCTAAAACGATATTAAACGAATGCCAGAAAACTTCACCCTGGCCTTATCAGAGTTTCCGCTCAAAGGGTAGACAGAAGAACTCTCAATGACAGTTAAGAGAAAGGAATGATATGAGTGGGGGAGAATGTAATGGAGCTGATGAAACGATAGTATGGAGATTCGCCGTATGTTATTAATTATGGAAACAATGAGGAAGATGTGAGTGTACTCCATACAATAACATTGGTAAGAGAACTTGCGTCCATTAAGAACTATGTAGTGGGGAAGTGACTCTGCTTGCCCAAAGACGATGGTAGTCACCAAGAAGATGGAGAAAAGTGAGGAAGGAGAAGGTACTTGAAAGAAATCTTTGGAAGATTAGATCGATTGCTATGTTCCTCGCAGAGGATGTGTGTGTGCAGGATCTGAAAGATTTAGTGTTGAAATAGATGGAGAATGATAAAGTATAATGATAATAGATTAAAACCATACTTAAATTCAAGAAGCCACAAGTACGAGGATGACCTTTTGGATTAGCACATGAGAGTTGTCCAATGACTTATTCTAGAGAGATTAGATGCTCCAAGAGTAACTCATGATGTGTGACTTAAGGACCATGACCCCTTATTTATAGACAAGAGGTGGTTAGTCTCTTGTTGTCTTTTTTTAATTTAATCCATCATAAAATTAAAATAAGACCTAGTCTCTACACATTTATATTTATACTTACAAGAGAAGTGACGTAACTTAGTCATTGTATAATAAATCATGTAAATTTAAAATTTATAAAACTAGAAAAATACTAATTTTTAGATGTTTAGAAGTATTTCTAAACAAATATATCAATTATATTTTAATAAAAAACTAAAAATAGTAATAATTTTCCAAGTTGATTACATGGATGTAATATAATATCAGATAAGTTTTTAAATTTTTTAAAAAAGAATATGATTTTTTTATAAATTTTATACTATGAAATAAAAATAAAATATATTTAAAATTTTAAAAAAGAAATAAAGGTGCGAACATCACGATGACGTCAGCACATGACAAAACTGAATCAACTAGAAATAAAGTTCCATCTAGTGATTCTTATGTAAGTGATTACATATGATTTAATTGATCAAATTAAGATTTATAAATTCCAAAAGAATTGTAATTAAATGAAGTATAACTTTAGTATATTTAAATCACACAGTTATTATTAAATGAAGTGAAAATTAAGTTGAAAATAGGAAAATAGACTTTTGACATTCTAGTGGTGATACATCAATGATGCACTAGAACTTTGAGTGTTCAAGAAGATCATCATGTAGTGTTTATGGCTTCAAAAACTCTCTTTGGACAAGGACGACATGAGTAATTTCTAGAGATCATCGAATAAAATAGGTCGTCAAATCGTCTCTGGTAGCTGTCACTTAGTGGAATAAAAAAACAGTGACTTTGCGACTCTCTAGCAATTGACACCTGACGAAGAGGAGTTGGATGGAGGTGAGGCATGTGTTCGAGAGCTTCATCTTCAAGTCTACACAACAAGATGAGGCTCTTTATCACATTTAATACGCTCTTAGGAGGTGGTAACTCATCTTTTGACAGATCATCCTCTTTCTAATGACAGCTTGTTCGTTGATCAATCAGAGATGATTTATTTGATGGATTCACGATCATTTTATCGTGAATTGTTTAATAATTTTGGTAATAATACTTTGCAAATCATATTGACGAGATTTTCACTGATGATCTAACGATTTTGACGGCTTAATCTTTCACCAGCAATCTACAGAAAAGTCACGATAATCAGATAAAAATACAAGTTTTGACTTTGAGAGGATTCAAACTCACGTCGATTACTCGCTTACATAAGAGATATTGAAATAAGTATTATAATCCATTTATCAAATGACGTCATCATGATATATCTTTGTTATTTAAGTACTAAAATCTTCAAAGCCTTTCGGGAGAAGGTATGATGTAGGTTTAATCCCACATTACTTGTGCGCCAAAGTTTTAGATGAATATATAGTAATATCACATTTGGAAGCAATAAGTCTCTTTCTCCTGTGTGTACGACTACTCCTTACCCCACATCAGCTGGTCACTAGTGAAATGGAAGGAGAGTGGTGCACATGTGCCCCCATTGGTCTTAGTTGCTTGAGCTTGTGCTCACGGCTCCCCCTGACTATGCTTTTGACCTGCTTGTAGGCCTAGTTGGCTAGTGGGTCCTCTTTTGTTATTTTTTTATCTTTTTATATTTTTTTTCATTTATTTCAAAAATAGGGCTATAAAAATTATATAAATTTATAAAAAATACATAATTAGCCAAAAATTCATATTAATCAATTGAAAACTACTTTTCATAGTTTAACATAAATATAAATCTATTTATCATGAGTTAAGATTAAAACTATATTATTTACTAATTATTAACTCATGACAATGAAGACTTATCAAGAGGTCATAATCGCAAATACTTAACTTCAATGAATCACTTTAAGTAGGATTAATTAATGGCAGCCTCATGATATACAATTTATATATGTCATTGTCCACATTGAGATTAATTTTAATAATCTCTTACTTAGACAAAATATTTATGATAACTTGATATTGTACATGACTTTATGAGCTCAAAATTTTATTATCATTGTCAAAGAATTTTTCAACAATCTCATCTATCAATATACCAATATAGAAGTAAAAAAAAATTGTTCATACTTTTTGTGTGATTGAACCCAACAATAATCAATTATATTGATATAATGAACTACATAGATCAAATATGGATGTGTAGTATAGAAATTACATGAAATGTGACTCATATCTATATATTTTCACTTAGTTTTTCTTATTCTGAATGGAGATCAAACAATCACATTCATAGTGAGAATAATCATAAATTTTATTCATACATGAAATAACTAAGATATATGTTTATAACTATATCAGCATCAAAATACAAACTCTCATTAAAATTATATATCCTCATAGGTATTACAACCATATGAGCAATATACTCATAAAAGACCTTTGGTGACAAACTTTTAATAAGTAGATCTACTATTATAGAATTTGTCCTAATATGCTCTATAAACATTTAGGTACTCTGAACTCTTTCCTTAACAACTAGGAACTTGATGTCTATATGTCTATCATTATGAGTGTCTACTTAGCACTCTTCTATGATATAACTCTTCTAGTTAGTAGATAGATATAACTCGTAGTAGATTGTTTGCTATGAGTGCATCTAGTGAAATTAGAATTTGAATACCTAATGATATCCAAATGATCTGATTTTCTATATGTGAGTATATAGTTCTTTATTTTTTGTAAATACTGCATAATCTGTTTGGTTGCTTTTCAATGATCTATACCAAGGTTACTTAAATATCTGCCTAGTACTCTAATTATGTACACAATATTTGAACGCATACATATTTGAGTATACATAAGACTTCTTATAATTGATGCATAAGAAATTTTCAATATCTTTTTAGCCTCATAATCATTCTTAAGGCACTGATTGAGATTAAACTTGTCTCTTTTAACAACAAAGGTATCATAAGATTTACATTTTTACATACCAAATCTTGTAAAAACTTTCTTGATATAACTCTTTTGTAACAACCCCATGATATTTCAAGGTCGATCTAGGTATATCTCAATGCCCAATACAAAAGAAGCTTCACAAAGATCCTTCATCTCAAAATTCTTTGAAAAAAATATTTTAGTGTAACAAAGTAAACCTATATTATTACTAGCAAATAATATGTTATCAACATATAAAATCAAAGTATATGTTTGCTCTTATTGAACTTATAATATACACATTCATCACTCATATTCATCTCAAAATTAGATGAGATGATAGCTTGATGAAATTTGTGATACCATTGATGAGAAGTTTGTTTTAACCAATAGATGGAGTTTTTTAGGTATCTAATAAACTAACAACTAAAACTTCATCTATTGAACAACTTCAAATAGATAAATACTTTACACTAGGCTTATTGTTCGTCCAAAATTCATAAAGAGTTCTAATAGTTACCTTAGTTGGAACCCAATTAAGCAAATAGGTTGCAATCTTTAGTATTTTTTCTTAGAGGTTATTTGGTGGAGTAGATTGACTAATCATATTCCTTATCATATCTTTAAGTGTTCTATTTTTTTGTTTAACAAAACCATTCATGCTAGGAGATCTTAGCATAGTATATTATGAGATGATGCTATACTCTTCTAGGAATTTAGCAAAAAGATTCTAGATGTTGTTCACCTGATTTATCATATTTACCATAGTATTCACCACCATGGTCTAATTTGATAGCCTTAATCTATTTGTTCAATTGATTCTCAACTTTAGCTTTATATTTCTTGAATACATCAAGTGGTTGAGACTTCTCATAAATAAGATGCAAGTAGCCAAATCAAGAATAATCATCTATGAATGTAATAAAATGTTATTGACCATTCTAAAAGGCCATAAGAAATGATCTACAAATATTCGTATGTATTAATTCTAAGACATCTAAAACTCGATTGACACCTATTTTCTTTATGTTTGTTTTCTTACTTTTGATACATTTGACACGTGTTAAAATTATTATAATCAAGTCAATCAAGAATTCTATTAGACATGAGTAGATCAGTTCTCTATTTAGAGATATGACATAATCTCGTGTCATAATAAAGTGAAATTCTCATTGATTAATTTTCTTTTTATATTCCTTAAATTGATATATAAGATTTCATTAGAAGGGACCATTATGTCAAGTAAGTATAAGTTATCATGACTTGATAAAGTACCAATATTAATACAATTTGAATTATCAAATAAATTAAAATTTTTATTTCTAAATAGACAATTATAACCAAATTTGTCTAAATTAGAAATAGAAATCAAGTTACGTATAAAAAATGGTACAACCTAAGCTTCAATCAAATCTAAATAGTGACTACATTGCTATTGCCAAATAATTTTGTTTTTAAATATTGTGGCCAAATGAGCACTATTCTAGTCCCTAAAAACAAAATCAATTCCAAATTACATTACTATGCTAGTCCCTAAGTTTTGTCTCTATCGCTTCTACTGTTACTACATTGCTATTATCCAAATAGAAGTATCTTTTATCATCAATTAGCTTATGACAATAGAGTCAATTCTATATAAGTACACATGTGAATAGTAACACTATAATTCATTCATCATGTGTACAAAGGTGCAAAATTTAAATTAACCTCTGAACAAACTAAAGTGAGAATGTCACCTTTCTTTATGTCAATCATGATACCTGGTATAATCCTTTTTCATGTGGCCACCATACTTGCAAAAGAAATAAGTAAATTCCTTTTTTTTCTTCATTTATTATTTCTTTAGTGGTGATCTATATGCAATTTCATTGACCATAGATATTTTTTTGATTTTTTTCTAGAGATTGTGGCCCAATAAGCACTCTCATGCCTATCTTGTTTTAACTTTTTTTCTTCTTACACACTGTGATATGAGCTCATTTAGGGACTATTTGACTCTTTAATAATTATAACTCACCTTAAATTGACTGAATTGTGTAAGAAGAGAAATCAAAACTAAGTGCACACATAGATGTTCTAATAGCTCTAACTTTAGTGTCTTTAGTTCTAATGTGAAATAAGACATCTTGAGAATATACTCCCTTATATTTTCCTTACCTTCATACTTCATAGAGAGAAGTTTTTCTAAGATCATACTTATTTCAACTTTATCATTCTTAGCAAACTTTTTCTCAAGTTTTTGAAGAAAAATTCTTATTATAATGGTCTCTTCAAATAAAGTGTCCTTAAAGGCTTCTAGAATGACATGTTTCAAGATCATAAGACTCATGTGATTTGATTAGTTCTACTTATCTGTATCTCTTTTATCTTCATGAGAGTTTGTAAGATAATCTTATCTTAATGTAGTGTCTAGATCCAAACAACCAAGAACTATCATAACATTCTCTTTCTATACCTTGAAGTTGGTGCCATTTAACATAAGAATATAGTTTATCTAGACAAAAATAGTATAAGCAGATCTTGAAACTATACAAGAAACAATATAACACTCATATAAGTAACTTGATTTTCAAATAATAGTACTTTTCAACACAAGATATTAAGTGCAACATTAATACTTTATCTTTGGACAACAATATTAACTACAAGTAATATCTTAGTGTCGTAAATAAATATTGACAATAAGTTTCTATTAAATAATGTATTTCTTTGGACGGACTTATTATTCACATAAAAATACTAAATAATTATCACATATTTATTATTACAAATGTATGTAATTTATAAAATACAAAACTTTTCTTTGGGTCAATTAGTATCCACAAAATCACATACACAACATCTCATACATTAGAAAAATTAATATCCACAAAAGAGCCTACTTTGGTAGTATGTTGCTTCAAGTAATAATTCTAAAATATCAAACATGTACCAAAATTTGAATCATGATAGTTATTTGACATTTAACCATAGTCAATGCAAATATAAATATTAAAAATTTGAAATAACTTCATAAAAAAGTTCTAAACTAAAATCATCAATAATATTTCAGAAATAAAATGACGTCCGAAACAATTTTTTTTGTGGGTATGACATCAACAGACCAAATGATGACATCATCATGACGTCATCACTATAGACCGGCGCCTCGGCTAACTAGACCAGCTTATATCGAGCCGGCGCGCCATCTAAGCGCACCGTTCTGGCTCTCTGGCTCGCTTTGAGCTGATCACCTAAACCAGCGTGAGCCGAGCCACGTACTAGAACCAGCGCGAGCCGAGATGCGCATCAGAACTAGTGCGAGCGGTGTACGAAACCTCCGCGTGACGGTTCGTCTCTCGTTCAGAAAGCATTGAAAATGGTGTGGCCGTTGCATGTGACGAACCGGTGGCTGGCTTGAAACGCCGCGTGACGATTCCTCTCCCTTTCGGCATGCATTGAAAATGGTGCCGTTTCACGTGGCGGAGCGGCGCACGAACCGTCGCACAGAGAGAGAAACCTTATGGCTTGGAACGGTCGGCCCCAAAAAATGGCCTCCCATTTGACAAACGGAGCCGCACCGGTCGCCCCTCCCCTCCATGTCCTCCTCATTCCCGCTGATTTCTGGAAGGCCTGGAAACCATCCTTCGGCGAGAGAAAGAGGAAGAACCGAAGGGATTAGGGGCGTGCGGAAGTCGCCGCAGCCCTTCGCCTCCAGCAGATCCTTTCGGAATCCTTTGGCGTTGGCCTGCATCTCTTCTTCGCCTTCTAGAGCCCTTCGATGTCCAGACATCCGGAAGTGTTGTCCACTACTCTCCAGCCTCCCGTCTGACAACGGAAAGGTGAAAAAGGAATGGCTGGGCCCCTCTTGCAGCTCACAATTTCCAAATGAAAATCTTCCTTCAAGAGAAGAGAGGAAGAGAGGTGTGCGGAAACCACCGCTCCTCCTCTGCAAGGAAAGAAAATGAGTCGACAGACCCATCTAAACGGCCTGTACGGCCTATTAATCCGTCCATGGTAAGGTCGAAACCTTATGATTTCCACAATGGACGCTTGAATCCATTCCCAAGACAAGGCATAAAAAATGATACGGAGATGAATGAAAAATAATGATAAACATGTCATTCTCCAAAAACAACACATTTGGCTCTGATATTACTTGCAAGATTTGAAGGATCTAATGTTGAGATATATGGAGAATGATAAAGTATAATGAGAATGAATTAAAACCATACCTGAATCCATGAAGACACAAGTACGAGGATGGCCTTTTGGATCAGCATAGGGGAGTTGTCCAATGACTTGCCCTAGAAATGTGATGCTCAAAGAGTGACTCATGATGTGTGACCTAAGGACCATGACCTCTTATTTATAGACAAGAGGTGGTTAGCCTCTTGATATTTTTTTCTAATTTAGCCCATCATAAAATTAGAATAACATCTAGTTTCTACACATATTTATATTTATACCTATTCTTATGAGAGAGGTCGTAATCTCAAATACTTAAACTTCAATTAATGACTTTAAGTGAGATTAATTCAATGATAGTCCCATAATATATAATTCATATATTATTGTCCACATTGAGATTAATTCCAACAGCATGTACATCAGTTCAGACTTGGTAATTTCTTGTGAGGCCTCATGTGAAGTTCAGCTTTTAAATTTTGTCATGATGATTGGGTATAATAACATACTTAGGCTAATTGTTATCTAGCTCGAAGCAATTTAATAACTTAAACTTATTGCGCTTTAAACTTATAATTTGCATCCTAATTGCTGTATATATACATCAAACGTTCCCCCCCTTTGTGGCCCACCCCTCGCCCCCCACCGACAACTGCTAGCTACTATCTCTTATAGTCGGTGGCTACAGATCTGGCCTACCTAGGGAACAGAACTGTCCTTGTCTGTGTAAGAGAGGTACATTGCATACAGAAACGAATCTAGACTTATACAAATGCAGGAGATATCAGAGGAAAATTGTTAACAAGAAGAGAATACCAAGAGATGGTGTGGACCACCTCTTTCCATCCATGATGTCATCATTACAAGAGATCCCTTAGGACAGCCCTTTAGCCTCAAGAGATTCAATAATCAATCAACAGATAGAGATGAGAAAAGGGAAGAAGAAGGAGAAGAAGAATACTTTACAATTAATCCAAAAATGGGACAAAGATACATTAAACTTCCTTTATTGGGCTCTATAAATAGCGCCCATCCACACATGATGCGGGTAATTTCTTTAATCGCATGCATCACTTCTTTTACTCTAGGTAGTTAGGGAAACTGCCCGCACCACCCTTTCCCTTTGCATAGGTCAGCGGGGCAGGTGACACCCATCAACAAGTGGTTAGAGAAACTACCATTGTCACCCTTTCTCCTCACATGAGTCAGTGGGGTGGGTGACACCTATCAGCAAACAATTAGGGAAACCACCCACGTCACCCCTTTCTCTAACATGGGTAGTGGGGTGGGTGACACATGTCAACAAACTCCACCTTGACAGCTATCCCTACAACACTTAAAGTTGACGTTTGTCTACTAGAAGTTCTCCTTTTGTTCTAATGTACCTACAACATTAATAAAATCCAAATAGTGCCTGAATTTTTTCACTATGATGACCTTCATCAACATAAATATGTATTCTCTTCTGTGTGGACCTTCTCTAGAGAGATATCTCTAAAGTTTACCAACTCATGACTCTTGTGACAATTGTACATCAATGTACTTTGATTGTATATAATAGACCTAATTTTTGGTCAAGCAAATAATGCTATAATTGTCACAATGTAGATGAACTTTATTGTGGGATCTCAATTTCACTCAATAACTTCTTCAATTACAAAGCCTCCTTAGTTACTTTAGTAGCCACCATATACTTTGTCTTAGTCGTAGATAGTGTGATAGTAGATTAAAGTGTATACTTTAACCCATAGGTCTACTAGCCATAGTGAAGACATAATATGTTGTAGATCTTTGATGTTCTAAATCTTCAACAACATATGCATCAACAAAACCAACAATAAAAAGAGAGCTTTACTTGTCAAAGAGAATTCTTAAATCAAGTGAATCCTTCAAATATCGAAGAATCTACTTATTATGTTCCAATGTTTCTTCTTTAGATTGTTCATAAATCTGCTCAAAAGTCCAATGGTATAAATAATATCTAGCCTTATACAAATCATATCATACATGAGAGAGTCAACTGCACTAATATAGAGAATTTAATTTATTTTAATAATCTCTTCTTTCGATGTCAGACACTGAGAGAGATAGTTTGAAATAATTTATCTGAGGAGTACCAACAATTTTAACATTACCCATGCCAAATAAATCAATCATCTTTGAAAGATAACTCTTTATGTTAACTGTAATTGATCTCTTTATCGATCTTTATAGATCTGTATACCAAGGATCTTCTTCGCTACACCAAGATCCTTCATATTAAATTTTCTATGTAATAGTGCTATCAATCAACCTTGTAATTTCATTTTTTTGTAGCAATGAATATATCATCAATATAGAGCATCAAAATAATTCGAGAACTATCATTATAAGCATCATATAAACACAACAATTAAATTTTCACTTGATATAGTCAATTTACATCATATAAGAGTCAAGTTTCTTGTACCATTACTTCGGTGACTATTTTAACCTATAAAAAGACTTTCTCAATTGACAAACAAGGTGCCATAATTTATGCACAACAAAGCCCTTAAGTTGTTGCATGTAAATTGTCTCTTCTAAATTTTCATAGAGAAATGTTATCTTCACTTTCAATTATTCTAACTCCATCTCTTTATGTAAAATAATGGCTAATACTAGCTGAATATATGTGTGTTTTACAATATGCGAAAATATCTCATTATAATTGATTCTCTACTTCTATTTAAAACTCTTTACAACAAGTCTTGTTTTGTACTATGGTTGATCACAATCAATTTTCATAACCTTCTTCTTATAAACACACTTATAGGCAATGGGTCACTTCCCTATAAGTAGATTAACCAAGTCTCATGTATGGTTTTTGTCTAAGGACGTTGTCTCTTTAGATGTCGTTTATAGCCATTTCTCCTTTTTTAGGACAACTAATTGCCTCATGATAAAATGTTGGCTCACCATAGCCTACAAACAAAGTAAAAGAACTATAGTCATGTAGATGAGCATGAGGCCTCATCTCATGCCTACCTCATCTAGTAATAATATAATAAGAAATATTCAATGAGTCTTCAACTCGATCTCTACCTCTAATTAAACTGAGTGGACACTTCACTATCTCCACCTCCACTCATGTTCTATCCACAACATAAGTATCATTAGATTTCTAAATCATCTACCCTACTA